ATTGCTCTGATAGGGCTAATCAGCTTGTCTCTGCCTTGGGACCATGCATGTTGGAGCAGAGAATGAGATGGCAGAGCAGAGCTACTCTGATGACAGTGCTGGAGAGAGCAGGTTCATAATAAACTCCTGCTATTGTAGGGGCTGCTGCAGCTGTGCGCTCCTGTGCCTGCCAGCTGGGGCTGGCATATAGAAAAGCATTCCCTCCTTGCTACACTCAGCATTTGTTAGTGTCTTAGCATGGACTGTGCTGCAGCCACAGCCCCAGAGACTTGCACAATAAAAGTTTATTTCTTGCTTATCCAGTGCATGACGCTTGGATGTCTGTGTAGAGCTATCCTTGAATTAGTGACTCATATTTTCATGGCTTCCATGGGTGGTTAGGGTGTCTGCAATATGCAGTCATTTTTTTAGCAGAAAAAGGAGAGAACAAAGATATCAGCTGTTCATAGCAGTGGCTCAGAAGGGTCCCACGGATGGGTCCCATGTCATTTTAGTTCCTGTTTCACTTGTCACACTGGTCACAAGTTCCCCGGGAATCACAGAGGAACATTTGGCTATTTGGTGAGCACTTCCTCTCTCTGCCATGCATCATTTGTCAAAAGATGAGGAAAAAGGAACTGTTCTCTAAGATGCCGAAATTTTCATGTGTCGAGAGTGGCTCTTGACATAAATATTTTAAGGCCAACAGAATCTTTTAGTATGAAGCAAGATACAAGATGAAAGGCATTATCTTGTTTGAACTCAAATACATGCCAGAGCAAAGGTAACCATGGGTGCTCAAAAGATGGGTAAAATTCAGCCCCTCACAGTCCCCAAATCCATGGAGCCGAGATTGGGGTGGTAGGCAATTTGAAGGCTATTTTTTCTAAGTGAAATTTCTTATCTGCTTCCATAGGCCCAGGAGGATGAGTCTGAAGTCACCAGGTCAAAACTTCAAGTGAGAGAGAGAGCAGGAGCACAATGTGGGCAGAGAAATTCCTTGGAGAGGGGAGGCTGGGACACTAGATGGTGGATGGATGGGGAGCTCCCTGCCACAAGGTCTGCTATGGCTCTCCAGCGGCCCAGGAATAAGTGAGAGCAGTAGGAAAGCATTCTCAGCTGGTAACTGAGAAAGCAAAGAAACTGGTAGAAGTGTAGAGAATCATAATTGGATTTTTTAGCTCCTGCAGCCCATTCCCTTTCCAGTGGCCCCTCACCCCTAAACATAGCTGATGTGTGCAAGACTCCTCTAGGAGACCAAAGACTCATCTCTGATCCCCACTGCCCTGCACCTTGGAAACACAGAGGCGAGGCCTGTTTCCTTCCCAAAAGCTTTATTTTATATGTGGCTTATTTTGTGGTTCTTGCTGCAGAAGATGCTAAGACAGAAAAGTAATAAAAAACATCTTTTTAATTCTAGTTTAAGTGAAAAATGGGAGAAGGATTTAGCTTAGCAGCTAATTTTGTTGCTGAAAATATTAAGGGTGGTTTTTAGAACTCAAATGAAGAATCTCTCTAATTTGGTTTTTTTTTTTAATAAACTCTAAAAAGCAATTGAGTTATGTCCTGCTGGTCATTATCTACGGCTGAGGAGGAGGATTCTTTCTTCTTTGGGGCTCAGATCTTACATGGCACTGGTTCTTTCCCCTCTGCTCCATGCTGTCTCCTCAAATCTGCTGCTGTCTTTCCAGGAGGTCACATTGTTTGGAGCAGCCACTTGGTTTCAGCTCTCAGCTGGTGGTGGGATAGGAGGTAACTTGGTGTAGGGAGAAAAAAAATACAGGCACCGGTTATGTGCACTGGAGTTTAGCCCTGCTCTGTGACGCAACAGGTGTGGGCTAAGTCAGCAAATTCCTTTGTATCTACATTTTCTCATTTGAGGACTATGATAAATATGCAAAGCATTTAGCATAATCTTGGTCACATAGTAGTAGTATAAGAAATAAAGCTAAAGTCACCTTTATTTCAGGGGTGAGATGGAGCTTACTAGAACTTCTGAAATCTTTGACTTTCTCATGTTTCCAGAACAATGGTTTTGGATCTTGTCTGGGTCACAGACTCATTTGTGTGGCTGACAGGTACTTTTCCCTGGAAAAAAAAGGAAATACGAAGATGATCCAAAATTTGTATATTTTTACTGATTCCTTACCAGAGCTCCTTAGTCCAAACCTGTTCCAGTATGAGTATCCCTTTCTCTGTTTTACCTTCTGCTCCCATCTTCCAACCTGATAGTAGTGGTACTTCTGACTCTGTTGATTGAGAAAATTCCTAATGACACAGAGCTACATTAATTGTGCAGTGTTTTAAAATTATTTTACATTTTGTTGACCATAACATCATCTACATAGATTTGAAAAGAAACATTACTAATATGTGTACAGGCTACATGATGGATTCCATCTACATTCAAAAATAAGTGCCCGAGTGGATTCTTCCATTGTTGGAAGCTTCTCCAGTAGATAGTTTTATGGAATCAAAGACTAGAAGGAAATCAAAAGACTGTTCAATACAATTCCATTCTTTTGTGTGACACACAAGTCAAGGAAGGGAAAACAACTTTTTCAAAATCACACAGCCAGACGGTATCAGAGGTGAGGCTAGAACTCCGTATCTCTATGGTCTTGAGGCTGCTTGAAGTTAACTCTCTCTGATAGTTCTGAGTTGGTGGAAATTCTCCTTTTTCTACCAGCCAATAGCCAGGAGCCTTTGGAGAGTTTATTGGGCAGTGATACTTGGCATGACTGCAGTCTCAAAGCTGGGGTAACTGTATAATATATCTTCCAAACTGGGACACATCTGAGAGTGAAAGGGAAGGCTATTAATAGTGCTTCCAGGGCAACAGGTGTAACTGGTACTGTTCTGGGTAATCTGGGCTATATAATCACCCTGCTGGAAGCCCATGAAATCCTGCCAGTGGCCACTGAAACCACTGAAATTTCTAATTTCAAAGCATATTAGGAACCAGTCTCGGTAAGCATGTCTTGCTTGGAGGAAGTTGGGCTAAATGTCTATCCTTCTCTTTCACCAACTTTATGTCTTGAGAACACAGAAGAAGAAAGACCTCAAATTCTAGGAACTTATTGGGAATTACTTGTCTCATTGTGTAAACTCCCAAGAGGTTTTTAGCTTCTTATTTCCCACCTTTGTTTTACCTTGAAGATGCCTACGGTTTCCATGGCAAAGGAGCTGCAAAGTCACAGTGAGAAAACTGAGGAAGAGATGGCCTGTCTTGCTGATTAGATCATAGCAGGTGACCATATGCACTGGACTGCCTATAGGGCTAGACAGATGTGTTTCCTGGTGGGAAGAATATTTTCTTCTGGCCCTGATATCAAAGGGAACTTTGGACCTTCTAGATGTGAAAGGAGTACAGGCAAGTGTCCTGGAGAGTGCTGGGGGCTGGGTATCCTTCTGGGTATTCCTGACAAAGCACTTCCCTTCTCAGCTTCTTCATCTATGAAATTAAAAGTCGGGCTAATTCACCGGCTCTACTTGTTAGTTATTGTAGGGTAGGTTGTGCCATGGTAACAAAGAGCTCCCAAGTTTAAGTGACTTATACAAGGCTCTATTTCTCTCATGGAACATGGATAGGCTTTGTCTCGGTAGTTTTTCCAGGTCTGAGGCTCCATTATGTGGCACATGTTTCTGTGATTGCTATGTCAGGAGTAAGAAAGTGAGAATTGTGCACTAGCAACCAAATACTTCCACCTAAAAATGATGTGTGCCACTGCTGTCTCATTGGCCCAAACCAGTCAAATGGCCACACCTAACTTCAAAGAGTCAAAGAAGGGCAATCTTTTTATGTTTCCAAATGCTGAAAAATTATAATATTTGTAAATGATTCCATAGGTTCAATTTTTAAAAAAATTTTAATTTTACAGAGGAAGAATCATTTTCTCCCCTTGGAAACAAAATATAATTGAGAAAAATACAATATAAAAAAGGTAGAATTGAAACTGATACATTTGTAAAAGGAGCTGGTCACTTAGAAGTTCATCTTTTGATCACAATACAATCATTGCTCTCTTTTAGGAAGATCGTTTGACAACATTGGAGATGACAGGTAGAGCTGGGGACAGAGGGGCGATGGGAACAGTTAAGTGGCTACTTAGAAATTTTGCAAAAGGGTCAATGACGGCTGGACCAGAGGATGGGATGGAAGGTGCATTACTTATTTATAGATGCATAAAAATTACTCTCAAGTTAGTGGTTTAAACTATCATGTCTAGTATCCCAGTTTGTGATGGTCAGTAATCTAGGCAGACTCCATTGGGTCTTCTGCTTCAGTTTCCCCCAAATGGCAGGGAAGGTGGTGACCAGCAATACTTCATCTGGCCTGGAGGTTCAGCTGTGGTAAGCCCTCTTCATTGGGCTTTGGCAGCTATTGGCAGGACTGGGCTCATTGTGAGATGTGGGATGGTGAGATAGAGGTCTCAGTTCCCTGCTGGCTATTGACTAGAGGCTACTCTCAGTGCTTTGTCCTGTAGCTCCTTTCTTCGGAAGAGAACCAGAGAGGGAATGGGAGTAAGATGGAAGTCTCTGTATTCTGTAATTAATCATGAAAGAGATATCCGATAATGGTTCCCATTCTTTCGGTTAGAAATCACATGGTCCAGCTCATGCTTAAGGGCTTATGTAAAGGGACTACTTAAGGCAGTGAGCCCCAGGAGGTAGGAAGCGTCAGGAACCACTTCAGGAGCTGCAGGAGGATTTGGAAGAAGTTGAAAAACCTGAATGGACATGAGAAAGACTAATAATCTGTGGCTAATTGGAATGAAGGAATACATGTTGCTTCTAAAGCTTTCGTTTTGGATAAGGATGGTTGGTGATGTCATTATCTGAATTGGGCACAGCAGAATGAGGAACCAGGGAGAGTGAGGTAAAGCTTAAGACATCAAATGACAACCCAGGCATGGGATAGGCTGGGCCTCTGACTGCTCGAAAACTCAGTAAGAGGGGACTCTTGACTCCTAACTGAGCAACCAAATCTATCTGTCCTCTCTTCTCTCTCTGCCTTACAGCTTGCACCAACTAACGGACTTCAGAACGAGGCTCACAGGCAGCCGAGGTGATGGAAGTGGATTTAACATTTCAGGCCCTTTGGTGGAAATTACCAGGCTCCGACTCCTGTTATGGTGTTGTGCATCTGCTGCTGCAGTGGAGGAACTGAAGGGGCCACAGAGGCAGCATCTGCATGAGCTTTTAGGGGAAAATAAAAGAGACACAGGGCTGTACACAGTTCAGCCCACCCAGCTCAGCTTTCTTTAAGAAATAAAGCTAATGGCTTATTTTACATTTTTATGTGTGTATAAATTTCCTAAAAGGTTGACCTAAATGAGTTCTTACCAAGATCTGATAGCTAAGGACAATGGAATAATCCTTTATAATAGGATTACAGGCTGTGCTAAAAGAGACTGGCAGCTTTTAGGCTCTGCATTGTAATATATTCTCTTAAGAGGGCACAGGGAAGAGAAGACATAAAAGAGGTTTCTTGTGCTGTCTTACACACCCTAAACCACTGGTGCATCTGGAATCTTCTTCTGGCATGTCTCTAATGGGTCCCGGTCCTTAGGCCTCCCTGGACCTCCATGTAAAGGCAATGAACCAAATGATCCCTCAAGTACAGAAACAATAATAGGAGCTTGTTTTCTTTGGGTCATCCTTCCTGTGAGGTCACGTGTCCCTGTTATTTCAGTGCTTTATTGCATGGATCAGACTGCAGACCTGACCCACCAGTCTCCAGATGAGTGACTGTGTATTGGACTGTGAGCTGAACCACGGTCTGGGGACACTGGGCATGAGAGAGTAGTGTTGCAAAGTTTCTATGGTGCTCACTATAGAAGGTGCTGACATTTGGGGAGGGCTATTCCCTGAGGCAAAGCACCTTGCCCTCTGAGTAGCAGGCCCTCTGTCTGTTTATGTTTGGACAGGAAATGCTGGCTGACACACAGGACAGCTTGATGTGAATAGTAAATGGGATTCCTTCTAGAATTACACCCTCTATAAATGGTAAGACTAACCAAGAAAACAAACAACAAATTCCACATTCCCAAAGTCAGGTGAGAACTGTGTCAGATGAGTAGCAAATTGTTAATTAAGAATATATTTTGCCAAAGGACCTGCGCTCAGTGCCCCAAAATGCCTAAAGTTAGCACTTGAACGATAATAATGCTGATCTAAAAATACACTCATTTGGTCATAATAAGTGAATGAAAACAATATTTTGTTAAAATTCATTGAAGTAAGGAGATACAAGGAGGTTATTTTATTAATTACCAGTTTGAATGTTCTGTATTATATAAAATAGAACTGGTTTGCTTTATCCTCAGTTAAGGTCTTGATGTGTCTAGCAAGATGCAATCTCTCTCTCTCTCTCTCTCTCTCTCTCTCTCTCTGTATATATATATATATAAAATATCTTTTTTTGCATACAAAAGACCACTATATAAAGACATTTTTTCATTTATTATTGCCTGAGTATGAACTTTGGTTTTCTTTCTTTTTTTTTTTTTTGTATTGAGAATGGACCATATCGTGCTTTGCCTGCCATGACTCAAAAGTCATAGGTGATATTCTGGAAGATAAGTAAGTGAGGTTATGAATGGAATCTAAGGCCAGGACATGGCAGGTTTGGAGGAGCAAAGTCAACCAATTAACTAATACCCTTTAATTAAGCCCTGGATGTGTCACAGCTCCATGGAGATACAGAGGAATCATGAACCAGGGTGCCTGTCCCAATGTGGCTTTTAGAGTCAACAACATTGGCGAGATGAAGGTCTTCCTCAGAGGGCAGGAATCATAGCTGTTCTCTTTGAGGCTGTATTACAAAGCTAAAAACAACGAATGTGAAATTAAGGAGGACAAATGATGGTCATGACCCTGGTTTGGGCTCAGTGCTAGAGCATGCACACATGAGAGTGCCATTCTGCCATTTGCCCCAGCAGACCTGTTCCTGGGTGTGGGATCATGCTCTCTCCTTCTGCTTTTCTCTGCCTGTGAAATCCATCTAGCACTTTAAAACTACTTTGACGTTTTCTCCAAGTATCTTCTTTGATCTTGAAGTAAAAAATGATATCCCACTCTTCAGATTCCCATAGCATTTTATTTTAATTAGTAATGAGGAATTTATAAGGTATGCATCATGAATTTCAGTAGAGGGTAGTGAGGGGAAATGAGCTGAGATCTGTTAAAAATATCTCATTTAACTCAATAATTCCAGGAGAAGGGCACTGTTATTATCTCACTTTTATAGTGGGGGTCTCAGGCACTGAAGACTGAAGAGTTTACCAAAGAGTTCAGAATTGGCAAGTGTTGGTCTGGAGTGACATTCCAAGTCCCATCTCAAATTTGCCAAGTCATACTATCTTCTCCTCTTTCTTCTAACTCCCATCCTGGATCCTTTCCCTGGAATAGCTCTCATCAGTTCACATCTTATGTGACACATGGATTTTATGCTTGTGGAGGACAGCTAGCATGACATGCCTTACTTAGTGTGTTCACTTCATTGCACAAGATAGATACCCAAATTTAAGGATGAGATCAACCAAATATCCATTGTCTGTATCTTATCCTTGACTGAACACCTTGCTGCTTCTGCTGTCCAAAGAAGGCCCACAGTTTCCTCCCCTTCTTGCCAACTTTCCCACTCTCAGCTGAGAAGCCAATGTTCTACAGGAGGACTGAGATTTAATGAAACTGGGGCTCCACACATTATGGATCCACTCTCAATCTAATAATAAAGCTGATAGGATGAGCCCAATATTATATGCATTTTAGAATTCTCAATTGAAATCAAACAAATATTTACTGGACATCATGAGCAAAAATACAGCTCTCTAAGATTAAAAGAGACAGAGGGTAAAAGTAGTGAAAGAAATCATGTGACTTCCTGGAGGGTCAGAGTGTGACACACATGGTAGAAATAAGGCTAGATCAGAAAGCTCCTTGGGGCCTATCCAGCACTAGGCCCTCTCTTTGCTGGGCTGCAGACTGTCTCACCTGGAAGCTGCTGGTAGGAAAGCTGGTACAAGTTTGTCGTGTTTCTCACATGCCCTTACATACTGGCTCCCCACATTTGAGAGGTAGCCTTTCTGTGGTCACAGGAAGATGGCATGCCCTGATAATAATGGAGTAGAAATCCAAGTCTTAGCCTCCCGAGAGCCATGCTTAGACTAACTACAGAAGGTGATCCTTGGCCCTTCGAGGATGAAAAGTACCGGCCCAAGTGTTCTGATGTGAATGGAAACTAGATTTGCTAATGTCCTCATGCAGAAGCAGTGGGTCACCAGTCTCAAGAGTTGGCCAGTTCTGCATGTCCACTCTTGCTCTGCTTTGGCTTTTGCTTCAACCATGCCATGCTAGCTGCACTCCATAAGTGTAAATTCCATGTGTGACATAAGATGTGGGTTTCTGTTTGATTTCTCAAACTGATATCTTCTTGCCCCATGGTTGACTTGGCCTCCTGATTGAAAAAACCCCTCTGTGACTCTCTGGTCCTGTTTACTTCCTGTACTTCAGCTCCTGGCCCTAGACTGTGGCTTCAGCCTCAGACTATGTGTTCTGGGAAGGAATATTTCTTTGTGTGTGTGGTACTGGGGTTTCAGCCCACAACTTCTGCACAGAGCTACATTCTCAGCCTTATTTATTTATTTTTTATTTTGAGAAACAGTCTTGCTAAGTTGTCCAAACTGGACTCCACTTTGTGATCCTATTGCCTCAGCCTCCCAGAGTGCTGGGATTACAAATGTGCACCACCATGCCCAGCTGGGATGAGCACTCTTGGGAAAGGCAGCAGCACTGGGCAGCCCATGTAATCAGAGCTTCTGTATAAATAGTGCATATGCCCACATGCCTTTGTGAGCAAGGCATTCTTTCTACCAGCCTTGCCTGCAGCCAAGCTCACTCTGCCTTGAACTTCTTATGCTTAGGTCATAAAGAAAGGGGCATTGGTGCTTTTCAAATCTCTAAGACAAGCTTACAGTGATGCTGCTGGGCTCCTTGTATGTGATGATTTATGCATGGTGAGTGGAAAAGCATGCTGTTTTCATCCCTTTTAAAACCTAGTAATGAACTAGGGGGAGAACATTATATCTGTATCTGTTCTTTTCTCTATGTCTTCTTCTCTATCTAAATCTGTGTACCTACATCTATATTTTTGCATAGAGGTCCAATGGTGTGAATGTAGTAGTCCAGTAGAACTCTGCCACACCACGGTCTATTATTTATATTTGACCTAGTAGAGTTTGACACTTATTTGCAATGCAAAGATGCAAAATTGTGTTATGCCCTTCAAGAAATATATATGTAAATGTAGGCCAACCCCTTTAAGCAAAATAAAAATATATATCTGTGCTATGGAGAGAGAGAAATTCAAGTCACCTCAGAATAAAACCGGCTGAGAAAGGGAGACACTAACTGAATGACCTTGGGCAAGTCCTTCAGACTCTCAGAGCCTTGGTTTCCGTATTAGGAAAAAACAAAGAAAGATTTGGAACAGATCATCTGTGAGGGGAGGCCAGCTAGTAAGATTCAGAAATTTTGATTTTTGATTATTGTTTAATGAATAGTTTTTATTCCAATCCAGTCTGATTCTCCATGTGAAGTGGCAATTGCATGTAGACCAACAGAATCCTCCTGAGACTACACTGTGTGACAGTCAGAGCATAGTTAGGAAACCAATGCCAGGTAGTTTAGCAGAGGGAATTTAATACAAGGAGCCAGTTACAAAGTGTGGGAAGCAAAACAACAATCAAAGGAAAATGAGAAAGCCCATGTTTTGCAATAGCAAGAGTCACTATTGCCCTTGGGCTAGAGGAACACAGGAAAGAGGTCCTATTGTCAGAGCACCATATCCAGTGTTTCTGGGACAAAGAGGGGGCAAACACACTAGTGAGAGCTGGAACCTCATCAAGACACAGCCACTGACAGGAGTATCTGGGAGCAGAAAGAGAGAGGCTGAAATAGCCTGGCTTACTTCAGTTCCCCTTTCTTTAATTGATACTAGAAGTTAATGGAAGCCAGAATGTGAGAGAGTTTGGAATGAATTCTTTGCAGCAGTCACCTCTGCAAAGCACAACAGGTGAGGGAAGGCCAGGGCATTGATATGAGGATAAGTAAGCTGCTGATTGGGCACAGGTAGGCTGCAAAGGACCCAGTGTGGCTTTATGGATCCCATCCTAGCTGAGGTTTCCAATGGCCTAGCTGCTGGAGAAGGGA